GGCTCTCAGGCAGCCTCCCTGACGGCTTTCCCCCACCTGCCGTCTGCCACATGGGAACAGCAGCTGCCCAGCCCAGGGTGGAATGCAGGAGCCCGGCCCTGCCACCTGCTCCTGCTGGGACCCTGAGGCTGCAGTCGCTCTGGGACGAGCTTCCCCGCGTGGCAGCCCCGCTCCTCACCTCGCTCGGATCTCTCCAGCAACCCCAGCGTGGCACAGGCATCCAGCAGCCGCTCCGTTCCACACACCGAGGTGTCGATTTTGCTTGCGATGTCCTCGGCCGTCAGGATGGTTCCATCCTTTAGGACGTCAAACACCTTCAGCTTGCAGGCCGTGAACAGGACCTGCCCGTGAAAAACAGGGGCACTCAGACTCGCGAGGTGTCGGTCTGAGTGACTAAAAACCAAACTGGGTGCCATCAGGTCGACCCTGACTCAAGGCGCCCCTGTGTGTCAGAGGAGAACTGTGCTCCACGGGGTTTTCAAGGGCTGGTTTTTGGAAGTCGATTGCCAGGCCTTTCTTCTGAGGCACTTCTGGGGGGACTTGGACCTCCAACCTTTTGGTTAGCAGTCGAGCGTGTTAAGCATCTGCACCACCCAGGGACTGCAAACCAATTGTGGTTGAGTTGACTGACTCATGGTGCCCCCATGTGTGTCAGAGAAGAAGTGTGCTCCACAGGGTTTTCAGGGGCTGATTATTTGGAAGTCAATTGCCAGGCCTTTCTTCTGAGGCACTTCTGGGTAGACCTGGACCCCTGACCTTCCTGTTAGCAGTGGAGCGCGTTAACCGTTTGCACCCCCCAGAAACCCAGCCCGGGATACCTTGGACCCTTTGAAGCCCTCAATGAGACCGAGAAGTTCCGTGGGAAAGGGGGGCGGGGTCTCCACTGTGCCATTGCAGGCGGCCTCTTGCCGGTCGCCGCCTGGCTGGCCGCTGCCCTCCTCGTCACTCAGGTCCTTGAAGGTGTCGACGGACGGGATGGAGTCGTGCTTGACGCACCGTGCGGCCTCGTGGGGGGGCGGGCAGTACAGCTGGGCCAGCTTCTTGCAGAAGTGGTTCAGCGGGAAGCCCACCACGTTGAGGAAATCCCCGCTGACGTGCTCCACCAGCATGCCGCCCAGCGCCTGGATGCCGTAGCCGCCCGCCTTGTCCCTGCATTGGGGCGGGGACAGGGGGAGGGGGATGATGGCGGAGAACCGACCGCCTGGTGCGCGAGGAGAGTGTCGTGCAGACTTGAGGGTAGGACAGAATGCTACACTGTCCACCGCCGCCTGCTGGGGACCCCACGATGCCCCATCCAGGCCATCCCCAGCCTGAGCCTGGTTCCTCCTTCAGTTTAAACAGGATGAGGACAGCCCCTCCGTGGTGTACCCTTGTGGGTAACAGACATGGGGGGTGCTCGGGGTGGGCCTGGCTCCCAGGACACCCTTCTGATGTAAACAGGGCTGGCTTAGCTGCTAACCAACAGGTTGGGGGTTCCAGTCCACCCAGAGATCCCTCAGAAGAAAGGCCTGGCAATCTAGTTCTGAGAAACCACCCATTGAGAACCCTGTGGAGCACAGTTCTCAGGCGCACATGGGGTTGCCATGAGTTGGAGTTGACTCCACACCAACTGATTTGGTTTTGGCTTTTTGGTTAATGATGACTATGGAGTCCCTGGGTGGTACAAATGAGTGAAAAGCCTGGTGATCCACTTCAGAAGAATCAGCCCTTGGAAACCCTGTGGAGCACAGTTCTATCCTGACACACATGGGGGAGCCGTGAGTTGGAATCGACTTGATGGCAACTGGTTTGGTTTTAGAGTCTCTGGATGGTGCAAACGGTTAAACGCTCGACCACTAGCCAAAATGTTGGTGGTTCGAGTCTACTCAGAGGTGCCTCAAAAGAAAGGCCTGGCTATCTTTTTTCCAGTTCTACTCTGACACACATGGGGGTGCCGTGAATCAAGGTTGATTCGACAGGAACTGGATTTTAGGAGTCCCTGGGTGGCCCAAATGGTTAACGTGTTCAGCAGCTCACCAAAAGGTTAGGGGTTTGAGTCCACCCAGAGGCACCTTAGAAGAAAGGCCTGGTGTCTACTTCTGAAAAATCAGCCACTGAAAATCCTTTGGAGCACAGTTCTACTCTGACACACATGGGGGCGCCATGAGTCAGGGTCTACTCTATGGCCACTGGTTAAACCCAGCTATATGCTAAAAATGTTTTTAGCTGTATGGTGAATCAATAAAAAATAGATGTCTTTCCTGAGACTGCAGGAACCCCAGAAACCATGGCCCCCAGACTCTCTGTCAACCCAGAACTAAACTAAGAAGTTTCCTGAATATAATCAGATGCTTTGAGAGACAGAGTAGCAGGGGGGTAGGGGTCTGGGTACCATGCTTTCAGGGGACATCTAGGTCAACTGACATAACAAAGCGTATTAAGAAAATGTTCTGCATCCGATTTTAGTGAGTGGCATCTGGGGGTCTTAAAAGCTTGCAAGTGGCCATCTAAGATGCATCAATTGGTCCCAACCACTTGGAGTAAAGGAGAATGAAGAACACCAAAGACACAAGGATAGTATTAGCCCAAGAGACAGAAAGGGCCACATAAACCAGAGACTTCATCAGCCTGAGACCAGAAGAACTAGATGGTGCCCGGCTACCACCAATGACTGCCCTGACAGGGAACACAACAGAGAGTCCCTGCTGGAGCAGGAGAAAGGTGGGGTACAGAACTCAAATTCTAGCAAGAAGACCAGACTTAATGGTCTGACTGAGACTGGAGGAACCCCAGAAAGCATGGCCCCCAGACTCTCCATCAACCCAGAAATAAAACAATTTCCGAGGCCAGCTCTTCAGACAGGGATTGGACTGGACCGTGGGTCTTAAAGTGATACCCGTGAGGAGTGTGCCTCTCAGCTCAAGTAGATACAAGAGACTAAATGGGCAGCTTCTGTCCAGAGATGAGATGGGAAGGCAGAGAGGGTCAGGAGCTGGTTGAATGGACATGGGAGATCAGGGGTGGAAAGGAGGAGTGTGCTGTCACAGTATAGGGAGACCAATTAGGGTCACGTAACTATGTACAAATTTTTGTATGAGAGACAAACTTGAATTGTAAACTTTCACTTAAAGTACAAAAATAAATAGAAAAAAAAGATGTCTTTCGATAGCTGAATGGCTAAACAGACAGTGGTGCCTTCATCCAGGGAGACTATCTAGAGATATAAAGAAAGGAGCTACCAAGCCATGAAAAGATGCGGAGGAACCTCAGACGCACGTTGCCCAGTGGAAGAAGCCAGTCTGAAAGGGCTCCCCACTGTATGACTCCAAGTATAAGGCTTTCCGGGAAAAAGGCAAAACGAGAAAGACACTAAAGAGGTCAGTGGTTGACGGGTTCAGGAGGAGCGGACAGGGATGAACGGGGGTGCGTTTTTAGGGCAGTGAAACTATTCCATGGGATAGTGCTGTGGTGAACACGTGACATTATGCATTTGTCAAAAGCACAGGGCTGTACGAACCCTCGTGTAAACTATGTTGTTGTTATTTGCTGTCAAGTCGACTCTGATTCAAGGCCACCTCATGCGCCTCAAAGTAGAGCTGTACTCCACAGGACTGTCCGTGGCTGATATTCAGAAGTGGATCGCTAGGCCTTTCTTCCAAGGTGCCTCTGGGTGGACTTGAACAGTGCTTACCCATCTGTGCCATCCAGGGAGGCCAATATAGACTACTGTTAGTAGCATGTACTCCGATCTGTGGGCTTTAGTTAATGACAACGTATCAAGATTGGTTCATGCATTGTAACAAATGGACTACAGGAACGCCAGATGTTTCTAATAGGAGACGCTGTGTGCAGGGGGGGGCACAGAGAAATTGCGCATGGGGGAGCTATCTTGTACTTTCCGCAGAATCTTTCTGTAAACGTACAACTACTGTAAATAATAAAAATAGTTTAAAAAAGAGGTGCAGATTCTGTGTAGCGGCCCCCACCACAAGGGGCAATCTTCCCTCCTTCCCACGGGGCTGGGTGCAGACTTGGTTTTAAGGCATAGAGGAAGGAGGGTGAGCTGCCTTCACAGGGCGAGACAGGAAGCCTGGTGGCCCCCGCTGGACACGGGAGAGAAGCTACTAGAAGCGCCCGGGCAGCCCCGGATCCGTGAGCCAGCAGGGCTGGGGAGGGGCTGCGAGGTGGAGCCCAGCCCAGACCACTAAGCCCCCACCCACCAGAGTCACCTCCAGGCTGCCCCACCCGCTTACATCACCAGAGCTGGCATCGCCGCCCTACTGGGGCCAGCCGCCCTCTTTTCTGATCTGATCCCCATAACACTTAGCGAGCGTGAAGCTAAGAGCGGACTCTTTCTAATCTCAAAGAAAGATCTGTGATGGTGGTGGTTAGCCACTTTCGGGCTGGCCCCCAACTCATGGCGACGGGGCCAAGCCCTGCCCGGTCCTGTGCCATCCCCATGATTGGTTGCAGACCAGACCATCGTGATTCTTAGGGTCTTCTTTCACAGGCTGGTTTTCAGAACTCAATCACCAGGCCCTTCTTCCTACTCCTCAGTCTGGAAGTTCTGCTGAAACCCGTTCAGCATCGCAGCAACACACAAGCCCCCACTGACAGATAGGTGGTGGCTGTGTACGAGGTGCACTGGCTGGGAATCGAACCTGGGTCTCCCGCAGGGAAAGTGAGAATTCTACCACTGAACTACCCCGGTCCTGAAAACAATATTAAACCAGTTGTCCCCGACTCACGGCAACCCCACACACAAGGGAACGAAACACTGCCCCGTCCTGCACCATCCTCATGATCGGTGGAGGATTAGACAGCTGTGATCCGTAGGGGTTTCCCTGGCTCATTTTTGGAAGATTGCCAGGCCTTTCTTCCTAGTCTACCTTACTCTGGAAGCTCTGCTGAAGACTGTTGAGCATCACAGCCACATGCCAGCCTCCAATAACAGACGGGTGGTGGCTGCGCATGAGGTTCATTGGCCGGGAATGGAACCTGGATCTCCCGCGTGGAAGGTGAGGATTCCACCTCTGAATCACCACTGCCTACTTTAATCCCAAGGAAACATCAGAACACACGTAGACCTCGAAGCACTGTGGCCCACACGGGGGCTGAGCAGAGCGGGCAGGTGCAGACCGAGGACGCTGGCTCTGGGGCGGCCTCCCTGGTGGTCACGCGCCTGCCACTCCCTGCGCACGACGGGCGCGCGCCTCGCCAGGACTCACACGGGCTCCCCGTGCAGGACGGGCACCCGCCTCTCCAGGACTCACATGGGCTCCCCGCTGTGGATGTACTCCCATAGCAGCTCCTCAGACAGCTCCGAGAACTTGACTTTGGTTTCCTCGTGAAATTCCAAGACTTTGGTCTCCAGCCTATCGCCTGAAACGATAAAAATCCCATCCGTTGCCATCGAGTTGACTCCGCCTCATGGCGCCCCCATGTGCGTCAGAGTAGATCTACACTCCGTGGGGTTTTCAGTGGCTGATTTTTGGAAGCAGGTCACCAGGCCTTTCTTCTGAGGTGCCTCTGGACTGCCAACCTTACAGATAGCAACTGAGTGTGTTTACGGTTTGCACCACCCAGGAACTCCGTAGATATACAGACATAGAAAGCGAAAAACCAAACCCATTGCATTCGAGTCAATTCTGACTCACAGTGACCCTATAGGACAGAGTAGAACTGCCCCACAGGGTTTCCAAGGAGCAGCTGGTGGATTCCAACTGCTGACCTTTTGGTTAGCAGCCAAGCTCCTTAACCACTTTGCCACTATATAGACCATAAACAAAACCCAAACCATTGCTCTCGAGTCGATTCCAACTCATAGCGACCCTACAGGACAGAGCAGACCTGCTCCATAGGGTTTGTAAGGTGCGGCTGGTGGATTCAAACTACCAACCTTTTGGTCAGCAGGCAAGCTTTTAGCCAGTACACTACCAGGGCTCCATATAAACTATAGATACATAAATACATAGACAAAATAAAAAAAAAAAGTTGCCTTCAAGTCGACTCCAGCTCACAGTACCCCCATGTGTGTCAGAATAGAACTGCGCCCCACAGGGTTTTCAATGACAGATTTTTCAGAAGTAGGTCACCAGGCCTTTCTTCTGCGGCACCTCTGGGTAGATTGGAACCTCCAACCTTTTGGTTAGCAGCCAAGCGCATTAACTTTTCGCACCACCCAGGGACTCCTCCCGACCCACTGCCATCAAGTGGATTCTGACCCACAGCGACCCTGTAGAGCTGAGTAGAGCTGCCCCATAGGGTTTCCAAGGCTGTAAATCTTTTTGGGAACAGACTGCCACATCTTTCTCCCGCGGAGCGGCTGGTGGGTTTGAACCACCAACCTTTTGGTTAGCAGCTGAGCACTTCACCCACTGCGCAACCAGGGCTCCTTCAAGTTCCTCCAGGTGGCTTCAGAAACCATTCCTCAGGGAATCTGCACTTGTTTTAACTTTCTCACTGTGGCACACCTCAGGGTAACGTGTACGAACCCCTCTGTCTTCCAAGCAAAACTACACCACAGGGAAAACGTCCAAGAGTCGACTTAGGTGCCCATGTTCATTTTAACTTTTTCACTGTGGCAAACCTCAGGGTGACACGTATGAGCCCCTCTGAGTTCCAAGCAAACAGATACCATAGGGAAAACGTCCATGTGTCTCCCACCCCCAGAGGACGATGACGGCACCGTCTTTCTGGGGATCGTGGGGTGACCCCGGTGTCCAAGCTGATCCAGCTTTGGCAGGAAGTTAGGGCAAGTCCCGTGTGGGGGCATCGTCGTGCCCCACCCCGTGGGCCCCACACCCCCACCGCCTTTGCCATGGTTCCCATCCCCACTGGGGCCCAAAACCAAGCCAAACTCATTGCCGTCAAGTCGACCCCAGTTCATAGTGACCCCATGCAACAGGTAGAACTGCCCCATAGGGTTTTCTTGGCTGTAATCATTATGGGGACAGATTGCCAGGCCTTTCTTCCTTGGCACTGCTGGGTGGGTTCAAACCCCCAACCTTTAGGTTAGTAGTCAAATGCAAACCGTTTGCATCACCCAGGGGCCCTGGGGGGTGGGGGGACAAAGGGCCTAGTTACCTGTGCTGGAGCAGTGGACAATTGCCACACCCGTGAACACGCTGTGTTCCTTCCCGTTTAACCTGCAAGACAGACCGTGCCCTCCCGGGCTCACACGGGACCA